TTGGCCAATGGTTGCAAAGTGCGTTGAAGATGGGACGTGTCCGGGTGAGGGGCTCGGGGGGGCTGCACACAGCCCAGGATACAGCAGCAGCGGCGGCCCCTGTACTGACCCCAGCTCGCCGAGGGGCGCCTCCCATTTCTTCCCTGCACACCCCTGGGCTGCCTGGAGCCGCCCCTTTGGGGGGGGGGGGTGTAACCGGTCCCGGAACAACGTCCCGACGCACGGGGCTCGCTCCGGAGCGCTGGCCCGCGGGCGGCTGGGCTGGGCGGGGCAGGGGCGAGACGGGCAGTGCCTGGTGCAGGATGAGCCCCCAGGCTGGGCACCACAAACCTCCCGGCTGCAGCGCCCCCCCCCCCATGCCATGCGCTGTCCCCCTGTTGGGACTACAGCTCCCAGGATGCACCGAGCCCCCCCCCCCGCGAATGGTACGTTCCATGGGGCGGGGGGTGATACCCGGGCTGTCGCCGTGGCAGCCAGAGCCCGCAGTGGCGGGAGGGGGGCGCGCGGCGCGAGCGCAGGAATCTGGCAGGTAAATACCAGCTGTGGGGGGCACAGGGGGGTTGGTTCCCGGACGCCTGGGTTCTACTTCCACCGGGTTAGGACGTTCCACAGCCCCCCCCCCACACACACAGAGCTAGGTTGGGGGGCAGGCTGGCCTTGCCCCCCCCACCACACACAGAGCTAGGTTGGGGGGCAGGCTGGTCTTCCCCCCCTCCCCAGCACTGACCCGGCCTCCCCAGCCAGCCCCAGGTCGGTGGGGAAGCAGCTTCCTCCCCAGATACAGAGGGGAAACTGAGGCACAGCTCCAGGGACTTGGCAGCTGTCAGGCAGCCGGGGATAGAAGCCAGGAGTCCTGATGCCCTGCTCTACCTGCCAGGCCACTTCCCCCCTGACCCCCCGTTCTGCTCACTGAGGAGCTGGGGTTGGGGGAGCAGGGTGGGAGGCGGCCCACCTGGGCTGCATCTACCCCAAGGCTTTTCTGCAGTTCTCCCACTGCTGCTCTTAAACTTGGGCTGGGATGGTCAGCCCCCAACCAGCCATCTCAACCCTATGCAATGCGGTGAACACACCATCGCAGGATTGACAGGAGCCTGATCATCATTGCTACCGAGGCTGGAGCTCCCAACAAGAGTGGGAGAATTGCAGAAAATCATTGGTGGCGGGAAGGGCAGAGAGCTGCCTCTGATGTTTTCTTCAAGATTCCCAGCCCTCCATGGAAAGTCTAATGTTGGGGCAGGAGGTCTGCCCCCTGAGAAGGAAGCCTAGAGGTGAGTTGACAGGTGGAGGCAGTTAGAAAGTGAGGTGAAGTTCTGCCTTGGGGCACACTCCCCTTGCAGGCTCTCAGTTACAGCTTTGCACTCAGGAACATTTCTTGGTCTTGCTCTGTAAACTTGTGACACCTCCTCTGCTCCTAAAGGTACCAGGTTCTGCTCAGCATCACCACCTCTGCCATGTAGGGATCAATTCATCTCACACATGTCCTAGAGACAGTCAGTCCTTCGTCTATCAGCTTCTTTTCACAAGGTGGCACAAGGACAGATGAAGTGCTGATTGTTGGCCTGGCTCAAACTCCCAGTCCGGGGAGAGCAGCAGCTTTGGGCATGCATAATTTATAGAGCCAGGGCTGAGGCAGATGTTTCTCATTACATCATGGTCCAGTTTCCCCACTTTCCCCTGTAAACAACCAGCTCCTAGGGCTCAAGTGAAGAGTATCTTACTGTCATTCTTCCTGGACATTGGGATGGACCTATACAATTTTGTGTTTTTAAGGTTCTGTCTCACGCTGGGGTCTCTGAGTATCAGTTGAAAGTGGCTGAGAATCTTAGGACTGAAAGTAACTTTCTTTTTTTTTAACCAGACCCTTGTTTAAGTGTTACAAATAATAAATTGTGGTTCAGCCAGTCCAAGGCGGGGCCGAGTAACTGCTGCACTTGTTTGGGTAGTTCTAAGGGACATTTTGAATCATATAATAGATGTTTGTCCTCACTTACCTCTCTTGCCCCAATCCCATGAATCGTTTCCATGGGTAGCTGCTGTGAATTTAATGCTCTTCTTTGCATGCTGTTCACTTTTTTCCCCCTTTATATGTTTAGTGCAACCAGCTTATTCTACGTTGTATCCTGAAGCGAGACAGAGATGGCCAAAGGCATTCTAGGAGATGCAAGTCTTCACTTTGATGAGCTGAATAAACTACGAATTTTGGACCCTGAGGTTGCACAGCAAACAATTGAACTCAAAGAAGAATGCAAAGCTTTTGTGGACAGTAAGTTTTCCCTTTTATTGGTTCTGCCTAGGTCAAGCTCTCCGCAATACTAAACATCAGGTCTAAATACTGCTTTTGCTGCTGGGTGGCCTTTTACCATCTTTAAAAGGAGTCCCTCTAATGACAAAACTGGAACTAGTTACCATTCACAGATAGAATTTTGAAACAAAACCATACGTACGTCCCTACCTCGCCTCAATTAGTTTTGTCATCAGATTGCTTGAAAAGAGCACCCAATAAAGAGTAAGAGCAGTGGAAAGAAAAAAGGATGCATTCACGGTGTCTAAGCCAAGGGTCTGCTTTTGTTTTTAGAAGTCTTTCTGTTAATTGATAGCGTTAAGCTGTAGCTTAGGTTAGCTTGTTCCTTCTGGCTTTTCACATCAGTCACAGCCGTAACATCAGACGACTGGACTAGATGACCTCTCGAGGTCCCTTCCAAACCTATGATTCTATCAATGCCCTTTAGCAGTAGTTCCCTGTAGAGAAAACCAGACCTGGAACTGAGTTTCTGCCTGCCAAGCTGCTTCCCACGATAAACCCTATATATGAAACACCTGATAATATTGATATTTTCTCCCATACGCAACCTTTACACAATTTACAAACGTTTTCTGAAGCTGACAAGTCAGTACAGGCAGTGAGTCTACTGTGCAGACACTGTTGCATTGTCTTCTATCAGCCACCACAGTCTCATTAACAGGGTGAAAAAACCTATTAGTTTTAGAGCAACCTTTTTTGTGAATTTTAGTGTCTGACCTGTGCTTGTTGGTAATAGGTTAATGAAGGCAGAGAATTTGATAATGAAATGTGCGATTATTGTAACACATTCCTGTCTCCATCACCTATAATAATTTTTCCGATACAGGAAAAGAGGGTTTCTTGGTAGGTGGCTGGCTGAGTTTCTATTTGCAATGATTATTTTTGCTGCTGGGATTTTATGGTATGTTAGGGCACCTATCCTTGTATGGGCATCTCTTTTTAAATTCAGATCTGAATCAAGAAGAATATAGGGAAGTCAAACTAAGATTAGATGTCCTACTAGGATACAAGAACTCAACCTCATCAGTGCTTAACGGCCTTTCATTATATTTTCCTCTTCTCCATCTTAAGTTTAGTAGCAATGAAGATCTTAAACTAAACGTATGCCTGATACAATCAATTTCAAAATGGTTAAGAATATAAAACATTACGAAATCCAGGTTAAAAAGCACTCAAATGCTATAGAAAAAGGTGTGTGTCATTTTGATGAATACTTTTAGCTTAAACGCCACCAATTTTTCCTTTGCAGAAATTGCAGAGTTTCAGAAAATAGTGGGTAGCTTAATAGGACTTGTTGATCAACTAGCAAAAGCAGCTGAAAATGAGAAGATGAAGGTACCGTACATTTAATTATTGGCCCATGAAGTACTCTGTCCTGTACAATACACAGACAGCCCCTGCCCTACCTACTGTACGGTCTAAGCAATCTAGCTATTTATTCAATCGGTATGATACAGATTGTTTTAGGGATCTTTTAGGTGGTAGAGCGGTAACACCCGTCTTTGGATTAACATCATAGTTGTTCGTTACCAAGGGTTTAAAGGACTAATGCTAGCCAGTAGCACACAAACAAGCAATCTCATTAAAGTGTCATGTCATTCCAGGTGCTTGTTTTTTCCCAGCCCTACAGCTTATCAATTATGTTTGCATGTAAATAGCAGATTCCTTCTTTCTAATCAGTATTTTCCTTCCACCAGTTCATTCAATAGGGCCAAAATTGAGTGCGTGGGACATTAAGCGTCAACTCTTGATGTGTCGCAGTGGGCAGTGCCATCACCAAATATACCTGGCAGAAGAAAGCGGCTGATTAGAAAACAGAGCTTTTATTTATACACCTCTTGCTAGCTACTTTTGGGAATGTTCTTGTTGATGCACATGTAGAAATACATGCCACTAAGATCTGTGTGTTATAGGTCAGTCTAGAAACAAGCTTGGACATTTAGTGTGTTTAAAAAAACTCCCACAAACTTATTTATATTGGAAAAAGTTCAGAACGAATGGTCAATTCTGAGCTTACCTGTCCCTTCCTTGCCCCAATCATCCAGTGGTCAAGTAATATTTCTAGACCTGGCTTTGCCTTTGGTCTTGCGCAGGTTACTAACCTGGGTCAGTCAGAGTAGTGACTATTTGAAGGGAAACTCTCCGAAGATGTTATCTTCCTTGAAGTCTAATTATTAAAACTACTTGGAAAGTTGACAGGTTAGAAATGACAGTAGTAAACCATGATACAGCTCTATTCCTAAAACCCAGTCTTGTTTCCATAGGCAATTGGTGCCCGAAACTTGCTAAAGTCTATAGCGAAGCAAAGAGAAGCGCAGCAGCAGCAGCTTCAGGCTTTAATAACTGAGAAGAAAATGCAGTTGGAAAGGTAAGCTAAGCTGTTACATGAAGCCAAGAACGATAGTTTTCCAGGAGTTTGGTTTAGTATTTTGAAAGAATAGATAGTAACAGAACAGACGTGACTAACTTTATTAATATCACTGGTTTTGTGGACTAGAAATTCAGTTCCAGTATTTAAACTCTAAGTACAGGTTGTAACCACTCTCTCTCTCTCTCTTCCAGATACCGAGTGGAGTACGAGACCCTGTGTAAAATAGAAGCTGACCAGAATGAATTCATTGACCAATTCATTTTTCAGAAATAAAGGATTTAACACCAACATCCGCTGACTGGGCAAACTTGTACCTTTCCAGTATCCTGATGATTCTAAAATATGCAGTTTTCTATTGTGTACCAGTGAGCAAAGCAGTATGCGTAAAGGCAAAAAAAACCCAAACAGTTTTTTAACACTATGTGAACTTGCATTAAAATGGCAAAAAGGAGGGGTTTTCCAGGGATGTGTAAATAGGAAGAGTTCCAACCTGTCTCTTGTTTTTAAAAAATCTGTATGGTCCCCCGTAGTTTGATTTCATTTAATCTTTGAATGGACACTACTGTTATATTACATGGATCCTCCCCCCACCCCCCCCCCCTTTTTTTTTTCTTTAAGTTTACAATACTTTGGAAAATCAGGAAATAAATTATTGTTTTTAGAAGTTGCTTTATTTTCAGTTTTTTGACCTGCCAGAATCAGCTGCTCATGTTGTTTATATAATTAAGAGACTATTTTCCTTAGATTTAACTAGTTCACTGGATTGTCACTTTAATAGTTTACCGAATACAGCTTTTCATGTCTACACAGACACAAAACACAACATTATTAAGAAGCACCAACAGCCTGTTTTTATTTGGACTGATCAGAAGAGAATTGCCACGCAGTTAAAAAATACACAAGTTTGTGACTAACAGAACCCACAAATGACAATCCAAAATTGGAAAACATACAGCAGAATTCAAGACAGATTATGCCTGAGGCTCACAGACTCTCAGCAGTTTCTTGGGAATTTTTAACAGTGACCCAAGCTGCCAATTAATAAGACAGACCATCCTGAAGTCTTTGTGGCATGAGCAGATGTTAACTGTAAACGGATTTAAACAATGAATGTTTAAAGTTAGGTTCCAGAATCCACATTTAGATATCTGAGTATGAATGGCCTGATTTCCAGAAGAGCTGAGCACCCACAAATCCCATTAAGATTAACAGAAATTGCAGGTGGTCAGCACCTGAAATAGAAGTCAGGCTGCTTATAAAGTGCTTATATGTGGAGTTGTACACCTAACTGTAGGCAGCATGAAACTGTTGGCCTTTGTAATTTAGCTCACGGCACACGGATAAGGATTCCAACATACTTTCAATGACAGAATAGTCCTTGACATCATAAACAACGGATGTTACTGCAATTTAGAGGTTAATGCTCAACCTTTTAGAAGAGATTTGGAACAGAAGACCAGACCGCTTGCCATTCTAGGTCTAACTGGAATGCATTTGTACATTTCATCCCAGGTGCGGCTGCAGCTTCTCTCAACATTTCAAGTGGCTAGAAGGAGGACGTAGCGCCACTCAGGTTTGGCCCATCTGCCCCTGTGTAGCTGGAAATGAAGGGGTGGGCAGGCAAACCTAAGTTGTGCTGCAATGCCATGCACCAGGTCACACCACCACTAGGTTTGGGGGCCCTCTCAAACAGGGGACCCAGGGCAAACTCCCTCTCCTGAGGCAGTCCTGAATGTGGGAAATGGTCACTTCAACTGAGATGGGCTTAGTGTCAAAGTAGGATAGCCCCACGAAACCCAGGACTGCTGGGAGGTATGCTGCAGGTCAGAAATGGGTGAAAAGATCCCTGCTCATACACAATTAGGAAAAGACTTTAGGACCCGTTGGGAAGAAAGGTGCTATACAAAAAGCAGACATATCAAAGTAGGTTACATTTTAGCATTCAGAAATCCACTTCAGAGGCAGGTCTTGAAATATAGTCTAGCCCCTGATTCCACTTCATAATCAAAAATGGAGCTGGGACAAGCAGAATCTTTAAAAAAGGATCATACTGTACTTCCAGATGGTTAGGCAATGGTATATAAGGGGGTGGATGCAGGGGCTTGGATGCAGCCTGGCAGGCGTGTCCAGGCACAAGATCAAAAATATATAATTAAATGGCTAGAGTTTTGGCCCACAAGTTCAGAGTTATGAAATCTTAAGACTTACACAACTATGTGACTTGGCTGTATTAGCAAATATTCAGTAAGACTCTTAACTTTAATAGGCCAGGTTCTGCCCCCAGCAATCCCTAAGCCAAAGGATTGTGCATATGTATCTGGGGCCAGAACCAGACCCTGTTTTTACTTCTAATAAAAATGATACAGAATAACACTTCCTCCCTCACAGCGCCTCTCTACTCCCCAGCTGCTTGTAGTTAATTAAGTCATAACACTGTGCAATTATGCAGCCTCCAGCATGTCTTATTTTTAAACAGACGGGGGATCCACGGTTTCTCACACAGGTATATTTACCATGGTCTTTTTGGAAGGAGAGCAGCTGAAAGGGAGGCAGAACGTAAGTGCAATGCTCTATTTTCAGTATTGTACGTCAAAGGCTTTACATGTTTGTTTTGTTCGCACTGATGAAAAACACCAGTTTGCCAGCACCAGAGAAGTTAGGTCCCTCTAGCCACAGCAGCAGGTACAGCAGGGGGAATTGCTACTTGTTCTGGGAAGAGCAGTGACTTCCAGCCAATTCAAGTCTTCCATTTGGGACTCATACTAGTGTGAATTGGGGCAGCAGACTGCGCTAGACGGACACTTATCCCCCAGGATCTGGACGGAGTAGATTCAGAGAACAGATGGGGTAGATATTTAGGCTGTTTCCATTCACCATTATTTCTTTTTCCTTTTCTCCACCTGGTTGTATTGGGGGCTGTACAACATGGTAAACAGGAGCAGAATGGGAATCAGCAAATACGGCGCATAGAAGAACAACAGAGTAAGTCGTTCCTGCTGCGTTTCGGGACCCTGTTGCTTGGACGCTGAGAAATCGTGAAACAGGATGTGTGCAAGGATAGGAAATACAGTTGTAGCTACGTGACTGGAGTAGATAATTGCTGGAGTCCGTATCCATTTGCAGCCACCTGTATTCAAGGCAGAAAAGTAAAACATTTGTTTGAAATAAGAGGGCAGCATTCAATAGCCTTAGGATAAATACATTAAAGAGGGTGAAGGCATGGTGAGATCTAAACTGCTATAAGAGAGTTAGGTATTAGCAGAAAATTAACCCAGGACTGCACGAGCCTCAATTGCAAGGAGTATATGGGAGCAGGAAAACGAATCTGTTTTTATTAGGTGGAAGAGTGGCAACACAAGGCGTGCCAACTGGAAGCTTAGAAAGACAGGATGCAAATAGGATTCCTGGGACCTCTCTTCAAAGCAAGCTGATCAAATATTTTCATCCTCAAAAAAAATAGACACACACATTTAATTCAAGAATTATATTCTTAGGTCGACCACCAGGTATTGTGTAGATGCAGAGTATCATTATACCCATTTTACAGGGGTTAAGTGATTGGTCCAAGGTCATATAAGAAGTCTGTAGCAGAACCTGGAATAAACGCCCCATGTCCTAACAGGGCTGTTCTCTCCCCACTGGGCCCTATTACCTAGAAACCTAGGATTTTTGGTTTAAGATAAAGGTCTCTGTTGTGGGAATGAAGTGTATTGTGCCAGGCTTGACAAGCATCAGCGAAAGAATAATTTTTCCTGTTTTTATTTTAATTATTTTCCTACAGGCTCTATTCTACACTCCTTACTGAGGCCAAATTCCTAGTGAAAAAACAGGACCCCCCCCCCAACTTGATGTATTTGTAATGGCTTAAGTGTACAGAACAAGCTTTCTGTACCACCTAAAATGAATATCTGCAAGAAGGCCGCATGCACAATATTGTTCTTTCATTCCTTCTGTACCAACCTTTTAAGAATGCATAGGCTGCAAAGGGAAAGAAAGGCAGTTGTAAGGCGGCTTCACAACATATAAACGACTTAAACCATGGAGGGGGCTCCAGCATCATGGGATCTTTGAAGGTCTCCGCATACCATTTTAACAACTCCACCAGCTTAAGAAAAAAAACAACAGATTAACACACTTAACGTTAGCTGCAATGAGAAACAACAAGGCATTTTACATGACCCATTAGATGGAGCCATCATTACAGCGAGAGAAACCTTTTAAAAGATACAGTCTCATCTTGGTACGCAAGGCTTCAGCTGTGCAACTATTAGAGTTAATGGGAATTACGCTGCGAAAGCCTCTCAAAGTGGTGAAAGCGCTCCGTAAGCATACATTCCATTCTGCAGCGTTTTGTTCCCCACATTCTCAGGGTTACACAGAACCTGCTGCTTCAGACGTGAATGGCCACAGACCACCCTGATCCCTTTTTCCACTTAGGGCGCAAGCCAGGTTTCGTGGAGAGAGGAAATATCCTTGAATTCCACTCTTCTTGGCCCTGCCACTGGACGGACAGGTGGGGCCAGATTTACAAAGGTATTTAGGCACTTCAAGAGGCAGACAGGTGCCTAGGGGAATTCACAAAAGTGAATATGTTTGTACAGCGCCTAGCTCAGTGTCCTAGTCCACCGCTGGGTTCCTAGGCACGATGATAATACATAAACAGGAGTTCAACGCCTAATTCACGTAGGTGCTTTTCGAATTCCCACTAGGCCCCTATCTGCATCTTTAGACATCTAAATACCTTTATACAGCTGGCCCATGGGGTTTAAACAGTCCTATAAAGAGGTTTTTGTCCCAGCTCACAGTGCAATGAGCTAAATGTTAAATGAGTCTGAATGACAGAAAAATCAATTTAAATGTGGTTTTGTTAGGAGGCCTTTGGTTGAAAGTCCATTGAGATTTGCAAGTTAATTTTTAATTTAAATATGGCTTCTAAAATAGAAGAAGCCTCCTGATTGACCAAGAGAAGGCAGAAATCAAATTCACTAAGTAAGCTGCTGTATAAGCCACTCCTGATCTCATTCAGGTAACAATCAAAAGTTAAACCGCTTGAGCTTAACGACCTCATGTCCCGGTCTAAAGTTGTTGGATATAGATTATATTTATAGTTTTCTATCATACTGATCAAACCCTGGTGGCAAAAAAAAATTAATTTTTATAAATAACTCGTATTGTACCTTGATTGGTCATATTTTGGGAACCAGTTCTCTCTGCCTCTTTCACATTCATGGTGGGGTTTTGCACAGAAAATAAAATGTACTGAATCATGAGGCCAGTGTTACAGACGTCACTCAATGAACAACAGTACTTTGCTCTGAACTCTTCCAGTCTCTCTCTCAGACTGGACTAACTTTTTAAAGACAAGAAGTAACATCTAGTGCTTTCCATATGCAGAAGAAATCTACTGTCAACCAGATATTAGGGTATTTCTAGGCTGGTTAGGTTAGACTTCTGCAATAGCTTAGCATGCTAGGAAGATAAAAGTAGGAGAGATTTTAGCAAGGAGGTTTCTTGCTCTGACTTGTTTAGATTTAATTGGCAGAGGAAGCTTGCACAGATTTCATTTGATTCTTTGAACCAT